CTCTGATGACAATAATCCTTATTCTTGTAGGCTCAGTTAACATCTTACCCCATCCTCATCTGATGAGTGCTAGCTGCTGACTGCTTTGCACAGTGTCTCCGCTCATGTCAGTTCATTTTCAGCCCTGAAGCAGTCCATCCAACAGCTCTCTTATGAGTACTTGGCTTCTTTTTATTGCCTCTGGAAAACACAACTATCCATGCTGCAAAATGTGAGGACCACATGGAAACCTGTGGCTGATATGCTGGCCATGTAAAGATAAGTTTAAATTGCTTCGTTCCACATTAAAATGGTTGGATGAATTTCTGTCCCCGGAATTGCTTAGAAAACACAGGTTAGTCTGCGGCCACCCCACCCTGAACGCGCCCGATCTCGTCTGATCTCAGAAGCTAAGCAGGGTTGGGCCTGGCTCGTACTTGGATGGGAGAAAACACAGGTTAGATGAGGAAGTTTATACGAAAAGTATTTTCAGTCCACTCCATGTTAGTTTTTCTTGAGACCAGATTTTGAACATATCAGGGAATTGATGAAGCTATTCAACAAATATTAATAGCTTATTTTGTGACAAATCTGTAGTAAAGATGTTAAAAACCAATGATAGTAGCTAGGGATGCCTGCTATCTGCCGGATTCCAGCCTCTTTTTACACACTAAGAATAACCGCTTAAGAAATTAAATCTCTTTTTCCCCTGGTGAGAGTCACATTCCAAATGAGGGGACAGTGCACAAGCAAACCTTTGTGATATGTGCTACGACAAGCATATGAGCAAAGGCAGTATGGTATATTGGTTAAGAGAAGAGTCGGATGTCACATATTGGTTTAGCTGGCTTTAATCCGCGGACAGTCCTGGCTTATCAGCTGTGTGACTTTGGACTGGTTCCTTCACCTTTCTGTGGGGTTCATTATCATCATGTGTGAAATAGTATAGTCAGGGGCAAGAACACTGCACACCTCCATACAGTCAGTCATGGCGCCATTCAGCGGTCAGTGATGGTACCTCTTGGGATAGTGATGAGGAGTAACAGACAAGGTATTTAAAGCGTGGCTATAACCTGGGCAACTTGACGAGACCTCATCGCTACAATAAATCAAAAAATAGCCAGACATGGTAGCATGCACCTGTAGGTCCAGCTACTTGGAAGGTGGAGGCGGAAGGATCACCTGAGCCCAGCAGGTCGACACTGGGGTGGCCATGAGCATGTCCCTACACTCTAGCCTGTGCGATGGAGTGAGACCCAACTCAAAAAAAAAAAAAAAAAAAGAATGGCTAGACACGTTCCAAGTTCTGAGTGTTTATTATTACTATCATGGAGTGATGGTTGATAATTACCATCATAGCATGATGAGTTAGAACAATGGAAGAGATTGATGCTTCATGGAGGAGGGGTATTCACAGACATTGTTCAAGAAAGACGAGACATTGATCCAAGCTAATATTGTTCGCTTGTTAATTCTTCCACTGTGAGTGTTGCTGTTCCTGAAAGACGAATGCAGCATTGCTTGCAGGGTTCTGCTCTTACATAGAAGGAGCTAAACAACTGTCCACAAGCCAAACGAGATGATGTCATGGGTGCTTCGCACCATGAGAGGAAGGGTGACCCTCCAAGCCCAGAATGACGGTTACAGCCATAAAGAAGCATTGCAGATTCACTGCTAGGTTTCCAAATCTCATCTTTGGAAAACAGCTTATCAATTCAGTGTTGAGAGCCAAAGAGGAGAAGCTGTTATTCATCCAGAAAGAGGAAATAATTAGAATAAGTAGTAACAACAGAAAGGAAACTGGCTAAAGTTAATAAGTTTTGGTAGGAAATATATGGCATCAGAGGTATTTGCAGGTGGAATATCCAGGTGAAAGTGTTTACCAAATACAGCTTGGGCCTGGGTCTCTAGAAAGAGTTTATGTCCAGGGATGAGATTTAAAAGCTACACATCTTTGAGGATGGAGTTTTAAAGGTGGAAGATCCTGCTTCCACCAAGTAGACTCGTTGAAAGTGGTCCACGCCAGGAAATGGTGGTGTTTTGAGCGTACAAGGGAGAAATCGTTTTCCTTCAGCCAGTACGCAAGGGAAAAAGGAGTTTTGAGAATGGAGGTGATATTATAAACCATCAAATGCTGCAGAAAGATGTCAGAGGAGGAAGACTGAAAGAAAGGTTTAATCGAAGGATATAATGGACTGTCTACAGGGCAGTGGTAAGTACCTTTAGTAGTTTTGAGAAAGGCACTTGTGGATTGAGCGGGAGAAAGGAAGTGGAGTCAGCTCACATGGTACAAATAAGAAGGCGGTCCACTGGCAGAGAGCGGAGTCCCAAACTTCTATTCTAAGTTAGGAGAATGTAGACATTTATAAGGAAGAGGTAACTGGCGAGTGGAAAGGAAGAGACTGGCAGTGGAAAGGAAAGAAAGTGTAAACCCCTAGAGGATAAGAGCTCAGCCAAGAATGGCCAGTGACCCTTGCAAACCCAGCCGCATGTAGAGGATGGATATAGTTGGTCTGATGGGCCTTGAGTCAATGTTTCCTTCCGTGGTAGGCCTCCACCACATTTCTCATGTCTTTACAGATTTCTCCAGCTAGAGACTCAAGCTCTGCAATGTTTAGTTCTTCAAGGGCAAAAGGAATTCCTTATTAGTGTTAGTTTTCACTTTCAGAGAAAAAGAAGACGATAGCACACAGTGCCTGCACTTTATTTTTATTGGTCTAAGGACATCTTATGGGTCCTTGATATTCCCTTTATGCTACCCATGCCAAGTTCTCTGGTGGATATTGTAGAAAACAGTACTATCTAGTACTAAACTCACACATCGACAGAAAAGAAGTGCTAAAGCATGAATGCTTCTGCTTAATTTCTGGTTAATAAACTAATGTGAGTTGTAGGGCGTGATTGCATTTTTGGTATTAAACAGCGAGGCCTGTAGAGAGTACAAAGTTTGACAAGTCTGCGGTGAACAAAAAAGGAAAAACCTACACCTTGACAGTGAACATGGCTTTGGTTTATGGCTTATTTAGTTTTCAGTTTTATAAGTGATCAAAAGCTAAAGTTTGTGGATTACACAGTCTTTTGTTTGCCCTGCTGATGGATTGGCTCCTGCTTTCCTGAGTTTTTAATGGAAACAATTATATCATATAAGAAACTATCTCCCTTGTTTCTATTTCCTGGCATCATATATGGAAAAATACAGCAGTTAGTTGAATTGTCTGCTAGAAAGTGGCCTTTAAAGGAGAATGTGGGAGGAAGACATTTTGCAAGTGTGCGCTTCAAGGTCAAAGTGAAAAGAAGAGGGAGCAGGAGGAGGGTGCCTGGGGTCCCAGCCCCCATTTTCAGAGATTATTCCCTAATGTTCATGAAGAAAGTCTCAGTTGCCTCTGAAATTTAGTCTGCATTTTGGGGGTCATTTAGATTGGAATTATAAAATTCAACATGATTACAGATTATAGGAAAATGATATCTGACCTTGGCTAGATTGTCAATGCAGAATTTTCTACTTCATTTGAACCAGGAAACCTCAGTTTCTGCTGTGTGATTGAAGCGAGTATTTCTGGCAAAGAGCATGTCTTCTAATCACACATGAAGATGAAGAGAGTAATTTCAACAAAAGCAGCTGTAAAATAAAAAAAAAATCAGAAAAGTTGCTGCAAACTTCAGTTCCGCTCTGATTTTTGAAGCCCTGGCCTGCCCTGGTCTCTGAGGGTGAGCATCATGTATCTTGTCCTACCTAGCAGGTACCTCCTTGAAAAGCTGCATTTGAAATGGCATTCCAGACTGAAAAAGAATGTAAATACATCCAACTTGCTTGAGTTAGGAGAATTCTGTTGTGTCTCTTCCTGCACCGTGGAGGATGCCTTTGTCACGGTCACTCCCCATTCTAATTCCATACATACAGCCTTTTTTTTTCTTGTTAAGCTCTGATTTGTTCTGTTGTGGTGGTAGTTTGTGCAGTAGGTCGGTAGGTCGGAAGGTCTTAAGCCTGTGACCCAGTCTACTGAGTTTCAGAACTTACTGGTACCCCGAAAAGCCAAAGGCGTACTTGAATATTCCTAGTGCCTCCCGCTACCCTGCCCTGACCTGGGGATCCCCATCCTGGCTTGCTTTTCCTCTCCCAGCCAGAGCTGGACTAGACCCCAGCACCCCGAGAATATGCACTCCTGGCCGCAAAGCCAGCACCTCCGTGGACAAATGCTTAGCGTTTTGTCCACCAACTGCTGCTCCTGTCTGCAACAGAGGCTGTCCTCTGTTGACTGGCCCTCCCCTGAGACCACCTTCACATGGCTGCTTGTGGGGACTACAGCACCCACCGTGTTCTTTGTTTGTTTGAGCTGGGGTCTTACTCTGTCACCCATGCTGGAGGGTAGTGGCATGATCATGGCTCACCACAGCCTCAACTTCTTGGGCTCAGGTGATCCTCCTCCCTCAGGCTCCTGAGTGGGACTATGGGCACGCACCACCATGCCTGGCTACTTTTTTGATATTTTTGTAGAGACAAGGTCTTGCTATGTTGCCTAGGCTGGTCTCCAATTTCTGGGCTCAAGCAGTCCTCTCACCTCGGCCTCCCAAAGTTCTGGTCTTGCCTGCATGTGCCACCACACCCAACAACGCCCGCCATGTTCTTATATTTTGTATATTACCTCCTTACACTCCTCATGATAACCATGTGGATTTCTTGATACATTTTAAAACAAAATTCATAAATGTGCATGATCTGAAAAGCTGTAAATGGTAAGTACATTAATTTTTATTTTATTATTACTGTTTCTGAATTAATGCACTCACTACATTGGAAACTACCATTACAAGCTTTATTAGTTCATTCATCTGAGAGTTAAACTGATACACATTGGGTTGTTACAATGTATGCTCGCTATTTAGGGTGGGAAGTGAGATAAAGCACCTACCCCTCTGGGAACTTGCAGCTGAGGTTGACGTACTGTTGTATAAATCAGTGAAATCAGGTAACAAGTTAACCAGCACCAAAGGGAGAGGATGCTCAGCATCATGTCCCCAGGTAGCGTTCCAGTTCACGTTGCAAATAGTCCAGCACCCTGTGGCTTAAGGCAGTGAGCCCTCTGTCACAGCCAGGAGGGTTCAAGTCCCGGCGGGCGACCATCCAGCGTGAATACCGCTGACGTTCCAGGATTGCCCTTTGACCATGAATGTCCATGGTTCCATGAAACATCCCGGATTTTCGGGAAGGAGATGAAAACTAGAGCATGCGGAAGTGGAACCAACCAACCAGAACCGGAAAAGCTGAAGTCAGAAAAAAAAACAATGAAATGAATCTCAACCCGGCACAGATCGGAGAAAGAAAGTTCAGTAACAGTTTCAAGATCCGTAGGTGTTTCACTCGCCAGGAAACAAATGACTATGAGTTCAGGGGTGGAAATGACTGGCGATTCAGTGCCTTCTCTTAAAGACTTGTTTTTTAAGTAAATAAAAAAATAATTGGAGACCGTTGCCCCCTTTCCAGGAGAGATACGAGACCAGCCAAAGTGGCATGCAGACTGGTTTTCTGTTTTCATTTTACCCCACCTACCGACTACACAGCGTCTGCTTTCCAAAATTAGTTGGAAAGTCGATGACCTGTATCTGAACTGGGCGAACTAGCATTGCAGTTCACACCTGGAATAAAAGAATGATTGTGTGTGAGTCTGTTAATGGCTGCGTAGAGCTAAATCTCTGTAAGAATCTATTTATAGATATGTTTTCTACACACCAGATTCATTTAGTCTTGAACGGACCCCATGGCAAAACAGCACGAATGAATTTTTTTTTCTTTTTGATAAAGCACTCACTCAAATAAGAGAAATGAACTCTTGCAGTCACCATTTAATCTGTGGCTTTTTGGAGATGCAGAAAAACTCCATTATCCAGGGCTCAGTTCACCCAGGGACACAGACGCCTGTGGGTTGCAACACACCCTGGTCTGCATGGCGAGGTCCGTGAGTCAGCCGTTCCTCTCAGGAGGGGGCTTTCGAGCTGTACGCCACTCACGCTGCCACTGCCAGAGTGTCCAGACCTGTGGGCTAGAAGAGACAGAGGTGAGCCGTGGCTAGGACACGGCCTCAGAGGGAAAAACGTCCTTGCATGCAAAACACAGCAGGGCGCGGGGAGTGTCAGGTGGACTGAGGACCGGGAGACCTAGCCTCAGCACCCCAGCCCTCGGCTAAGCCCCGGGAGTCTTGGGAGCTGCCCCCCCCCTCCCCTCAGGACTCTCCTCACGCCTTCCCTTTCACGTTGAGCATGGCCTTGTGGCTTGCAAAAGACTCTGACAGACGGTGTGTTTTGGCCCTTCCTTGTACCGAATGTAGGAACAAACAGAAGGTCCTCACAAGGACAGCCTGCGAGCACGCTGCAGATGACTGCCGCAGGGGGGGAGGCCCGACACTGCTCCTCTCCCTGTGCTGAAATGTGACCCCTCACCCGCTTTCTAAGGGGCTTCTCACTCTGTGCATGCTCCTGGGTGGCCCCTGGTAGGCCAGGGCTACCCAACCTTTCTCCTGTGCTCTCGTGGCCACGCACACTTGGATGACACAGTCACGTCAACTTCAGTGTCGCAACAGAACCTCACCTCCAACGCTGTTCTTGCTCCCGTATTTTTTGTGTCGCGGAATGACGGCCTTTTGTCCCAACCAGAAGCCTGTGAGCTTCCCATGGACTCCCCCTCACTCACCTTTCAGCTCGCTCCTCACCCAACTCCTTTGCTGAACACATCTCCTGGTCCTCTCTTCCCCTTGACACCCATTGCCACGGTGTCAGTTCCTCCAGATCTCACATTTGCTCGCAGCAAAAATGCCCTAAGCACTTACCCCACCCCTAGGCTAATCCCTTCCAACACGCAGCTGCCCGGAGATTTCTAAATTGCTTTTGTGATAAAGTTCAAACTCATTAGCAAAGCACACAAAGACCTTTGTGATGTGGTGTTGCTGAATAAAGCTGTTGGCAGCCCTGAAAGGGTGGAGTGCATCTGATGCCTCTGTGCTGTTCCCTCAGCCAGGAAAGCCCTTCCAGCTTCTTCTTAATAAGCCCCTGTTCGTCGTTCACTGCTAGTGAATCATGGGGCTTCGTAGTAGGAAAGCCTCCGTGATCTCCTTCCCTCCCTGTTTGCCAGCTTGCGTCTGCCTCTTTCACCCCTTCATAATACTCAGCCGGCCATGATGTTTTATCACAGTCCATCACAGCACTTCACACAGGGTCTCCCCTGTCTGATTTGTTGGGTTGCTGCCTCACTCCATGGCAAGCCCCTTGGGGGCAGAGACCGGTCCTGCTGGGCTTGGGGCAGTGACCACCAACTGAAGGAACTCTTGGTAAAGATCGGACACAATCTGTTTTGCTTTTTCCAGAGCACAAAGCGTGCGTGAAAGAGATTAATTTACTCCACATGGAAAGTTGCTGCCCAGACTTACCAAAAGGTCAGGTTTATATAAAGTAGTGTTTCTTTCTTTCCCCTTTCCTTTAGTAAGCTTTTTTTTTTTTTTTTTTTTTTTAAGCACAGTTGAAAAGCTAGGACCCTTCTCGGATGTAGAATACAATCACAGAATCAGATTCTCAGGGCATCTTGGGTATTCCCTAGGGCAGTGGTTCTCAAAAAGGGGGCTCTAGAATGTGGCAGCAGTGTCACCTGGAAACTCATTACACATGAAAACCATTGGACCCACCTCAGACCTACTGAACTGGGGACTCAGAGGGTGGTGCTGAGCATTCTGGTTTAACAAAGTTCTCCAGGTGATCCTGATGGGCACTCTAGCTTGAGAACTGCTGCCCTGGAGAATGGGGGGGGGGGGAAGCACCCACAGAAGGGTATTAGAATTTATTGAGTACCTACTCTGTGCTAGGTCACTTATTTGGTTCACCTCATTAACTTTTTCAGGATACTAAATTAGCATTTCAAAATTTAATTCTGCTACGATACTTTCTATTCCATTTTAGATTATTCCAGCAAGTTCTAATATTTAGCAGCAGAATCGGGTGACTATACTCAGCAAAAATGTTTTGTGTTTTTCATAGCAACTAGAAGAGAGGACTTGACATGCTACCAGCTCCTGGGAATGATAAATACTCAAAGTGACGGATACCCCAGATACCCTGACTCAGTCGTTACACATTCTATCCCTGTAACACTCATGTGTACCCCCAAGTATATAAAATATTTTGTATCAATACAAGGGAAAAAAAAGAAGAATCACTTTAGATACAGCAGTCTTGGGTCTGATAGCTTATGGCCTGGTAAAAATGGTGCGTCCCTGACACACCCTCCCACCACACGCTCCAGGAGTGGGTCTTCTCTTGTTTACTCTGAGTGTGGCACTGAACTGACAATTTAGATATATTGCCTTGAATCGTCACTATCTAAGCTGCTGGCTTATCTCTCGTGCTGTGGGTTTTTATAGAGTGTGTGCCCTATTTCATGCGCAGAGGCTTGCGTTCGGCTTTAGAGGGTGCGTTTCCCATGTGAGCTCAACACTTATTAAATATCAGTGGCTGAATGAATAAACCTTAAGATATTTATCACAGGGCTATCCAGATTTGGGTTTGCATATAACCACACAGAGTGTGGATTAAAGGCTAAGCCATAACACCTGTTTAGATGGGAGGAAAGGGTAGCAATTATTATGAAAATGGGGAACTAGTCACTTCTTTTCTCTCTTCTGTTTTCTGGTAGCCATTTCTCAAGCCACTTCAGCCTCATGGGTGTCTTAAAGGCACAGACATTTCAGTGTGTGGGTCCATTTGACTCCATGGACCCCAGAAGCTAGTTCTTACTCTCTGCGTCACATGTACAATCTTGTCTGGCGGTAGCTTGGCCTTGGAACTCTGGGTATCGTTTCAGTACAGGTTGGCATGACCCTCAGGCATCAGTCTCCGCTTTAGAGGCTGCTGTGTTCAAGGACACTTGAAGACTTTTCTTTCCTTAAAAATGGTCCCCTTTGACTTTGCTGTTTTGATTTTAGGATCGAGCTTAAAATAGTTGGGCACCGGAAAGCCTCAGAGACTGTTGAGAGTGATAAACGACAAGAGGAGAGTTTTGAGGCTTCAGTCAAGGGTGAGCGTGTGCAGCCTTGCACTGAGTGGAATGGATCGATTTGAAGGAGAGAAATGAAACAAAAGCCTCTTATATTACATTCATGCCCCAGCCACTGCTTCCCCGAGAAATGAAAAATGGGCCAGGAAACGGGGTGCCCGATACTATTTTATGTTTTTTTTTCTCTTGAGATTTGTTGATTCTGTACCTCTTTCCATGGGCATGAGAAATCCAAGTCCCCACAGACCCAAGGATCTCAGTGGAAACTCACTTCCCTGCTCCCCTCCTGGCTTGAACCCTGTGGATTCTTACCCTGTTCACCGTGCTAGACATCGTACAGTCGCTGGAAAAGCCTCTTGCTGAAGGAATGTAAATTCTTGAAGGCTGGAAGTAGGATCTTCTGTGAATGAGAGTGTTTGGCTCTTACCCATAGTGAGAAACTAATGATATTGGTTATATTGCTGGTGATAATTCTGCTTGATAGATAAAGCAGACAGAGATGAGTGAAACTGAAGAGAGTATTTTTATTGATTTGTGGCATAAGGAAACTTCTGTGTAAGGGCTACTATTTATATAGCAGGAATGTTTAACTTAGGAAAAATTAATAGGGCAACACAGTTTTTCCACACTCCCCCAGTACCCTATGTTGGAGAGTCTTACCTACAACAGCATGGATATCGAACTTTGCTGTAAGTTGTCACATGGTCTGAGTTCTATGGTGAGAAGCAAAAATCCTCAGTTTCTGGATAAAGAGGAAAATGCAAAAGTTAGGATGTGTTTAAGAACCCACTCCTCAGCCAGGCTTGGTGACTCAGCCTGTCATCCCAGCACTTTGGGAGGCCGAAGCGAATGGATTGCCTGAGCCTGCAGGTTCGAAACCAGCTGGGGCAACTTGATGAGACCACGTCTCTACAGTACATCAAAAATTAGCCAGATGTGGTAGGGTGTGTCTGTAGATCCGGCTCCTTGGAGGGCTGAGGCGGAAGGATCACCGGTGCCCAGCAGGTCAAGGCTGGGGTGGCTGTGAACGTGCCACTGCCCTCCAGCCTAGGCGACAGAGTGAAATTCCAACTCAAAAAAAAAAAAAAAAAAATCACTCCTCAATTATATTTTTAGCCACTCTTCTAGAGGAATCTGGGTATAAAGGTTACTCTCTGTAACAGTTTTGTTATAGTCAAAAGGAGGAAGGAGTCCAAATATTTACCCATAGAGAATTGACTAAACAGATTGTGATACATCCATACAATGGAATATTACACAACCGTTAAAACTGAGACACAATACATATATGTTAACACAGGATTTTCTCAACAAGAAGTGAAAAAGTAGGTTTCAAAATATCACATATAAATGAACCCATTTATGTGAACTATGTACGTATGCACACTGAATTTCATGATAGAAGTTCACTCTAATATTTAGGGTAGTGATCTCCAGGTGACTGGATTCAGGTGATATGCTCTGCTTAGACCGTTTAGTAGCGTTTAAGTATTTACCAAAGTAAACATGGAACTAAGATGTAAAGAAGGGCTAGGCTTATGAACTATAGCTGTTTTGCAGCCTCTGTTTCAAATTATGTTTTATTTTTCCAAAGCAGTTCCACATTGCTAACCTTTTCATCAGTAATATGCTTAATTAATAGGCGACCTAATTTGATTTTTCTGGATTTTAAAAAAATTCACAATAGAAAGAACTATCTGAGCCATAAGGAATAAGGACAAATGGAAGAAATATGCCAAGGTTTTGTGGCTAATACAAGAGACATAAAAATGTAACAACAGGAAAATTGTAGTCGTGAGAGAGAGGTGAGTAAAGATATCTACGAAGGAAAAGATGAGAAATACTTTGAGAGAGAAAGAATAACTGAAAATGCCAAGAAGGACTGCAAATCCTGCTTCCTTACAATGAGTGGGAATTATGGGGTGAAAATGTAAACATGAGGACCGGACCCCTCGCAGCAGTCCAAGGAATTTGGGAAATGAAGAGCCTTTAAATCTCTGTTTTGTAGATGAGAAACGAGGACCAGGAAGGGCAAGTGTCCGGCCTTTTCTCGCTGTTTGATGTGGAGGCCACCCCTCACTTGCTGTGTGCCAGGCATCTTATACATGATCTCATTTAGCCGCACAGTAATTCGAGGGAGTATCACCCCCATTTTGCACATGAGAAAACCGAGTCTTATGGTCATAAAGTAGCTCAGGCTAAGCCATGTGGCTATTGCATAGAATGAATCTGGTCTCGAATGTAAATTTCTTACCCCTAAGTCCAGCGTTGTTTGTCTGTTTGTTTTTTTCTTTTTAGCACTATGGAGAATAACTTGTAATAGAATGGGAAAATGTAAAAAAAGAAACAAAGGGACAGGGATGAAAGCTACAAAAGAAGAAAAAGCTTTCCATAATTAACAGGCATTTGTTTAAACATATAAAGGCAAATTACTTTCATTTGCATGAAATTACTATTTTGGGCTAGTCTAATTTTTCTCAAGTCAAATATTGATGAAGCCCAGTGAATTCTGTTCTTTTTCATCTAAGTTCAACTTAAAAAAAAAAAACAAAAACACAACAACAAAAACCTTGTCAAGGGTAAATAAGCTATTTTTCCCAAACCAGTTACAACTTTTATGGGGAAATAAGGAACGGCCTGCAAGAAAGACAAGATTATTGCCTTGATTTACAAACAGTACAGAACTCAAATTGGTTTTTTTTTTTTTTATTGCCGTCAAAAGCAATGCCATACTTTCAGTGCAACTTGATGCCAGTTGTGATTGTGCTCGTTTCCATGGTAACAAACTTCAAAGTGATCAGCATTACATGGAAACTTTTTGCATTGAAATAGGCAAGAATAAAAAAAGACCCTGACTCTGTGTGCCTGGCGTACACTTAGTAGGGGCTGAACACATGCTTACTGAATCTAAGGAAAGAGTAAAACAGAAATAGTCTCAACGATACAGTTGCATGCTAAACAGATGTGGTGCTCAAATTTGCATATGTACACATCTGCACAGGACAGAACAAACTTCAGCAAAACAGAAAGGTGTAGGATTGTTTTTGCTTCACTTTAGACCCAGATTATAGCACAAAGAGCTGTCTAAGTCGAAGTCTTAAATAGCTTAATTGTGCAGCAAGTTAGAAGTTAAAGGGTCAGAGTAATGTTAAGTAAACGAAGCTGTTTTGGAGAAAACCTGTAATTCAGCATTCCAGGTCTCCAAAGGCACAGTGCCATTTTTGTGTGTGTTAAACCATTTTAAGGCCAAATCCTGGTGTTTGCTGACTTCCAGAGCTTCCTTATGTTTCTAGCCTTTGCAAAACAACGTAGCCAAGTACTGGGTATCTAAATCTGGTGGGCTGTTTCTGAGATTTTTCTTGGAAGGTACTTAAATACATGTGGGAGTTTTGTTTGTCTCTTGCTTATAATCTGCCCTGTTTTCTAAAAACTTTTAGGTTCAGGCAGTTGACCGTTCACATCTGAAAGCTCTCTGAAAATTCTGACTTTGGTAATATGGGTGCCTCTTGTGCAATTATGGAAGCCTCAACGTGGAGGAGACGTGTCATATCTAGATGTGCGAGCCAAGAGGTTTCAACATATGTAGCAATCACAATCTAAGCATATTCGAATGTTATCTCCGCATGCAACAAATGTGTATTGAGTTCCTACTAGATGCCAGGCACACGTTGAACAAAAATCCCTGTTCTCGTGGAGTTTGCTCTCTAGTGGGGAAAGCGAAAAACAAACAGAAGTCAAGTGCATAGGATGTCAGACGGCAAGTGCTATGGTCTAGAGGAAGACAGAGAGAGGGCTCACGTTTAAACAGGAAGGTCAAGGATGCCTCGCTGGGAAGGCAGCCTTTGAGTAGAGATGTAGGAGCGAGCCAAGCAGATGTCAGTGGGAAGCGTCCTCCAGGCAGGCTGAACACAGTGTGAACATTCTGGAGCGAGCACATCCCTGGCTTGGGAACAGCAAGATGGTCAGTGGGACTGGAGCAGCCTGCAAGGGGGGAGAGAGAGGGGAGCGGATGCCAAAGAAGTGTTGGGGGCCTGGGGGGCAACCCGGGGCCTTGCCAACCCTTGAGGAGATTCCACCTTTCATTCTGAAGGAGCTGGGAAAGCACGGGAGGGGACTGAGCAGAGCAGGGCCATAGTCTGACTCAGGCTTTAAAGGGAGGGTTCTGGCTGGCGCGTTTCAAAAAGACGGAGGGGAGAGAAGGCAGACATGTTAAGCAGATTATCGAGGCAGCTATTGTGTGAGTCCAAACGAGAAAGGACGGTGGCTTGGAGAGACTGGCAGTGTTCGAGGGAGGGGGGCGTGCTGGATTCCGCGCGTCAGGCAGAGACAGCAGGGCTTTTAATGGGTGGGATGTGAGCTTTGGGAAGAGAGAAATCGACCAAGATGCCAAGTCGTTCTGCTGGGACACCTGGAAGGTTGGTGGGCTTTACGACGAAGGAGAAAACTGGAGGAGCGAGTTTGGGCAGGAGATCAGGAGCTCAGCTCTGGACACGCCAAGTCCGAAGACAGCGAAGATCTGTCATTGGGGTCTGTGACTGGCCCTCAGGGCGATGTCTGGGCTAAAGACACAAACTTGTCAACTGTCCGATGCTTGGAATAATTTAAATATTTAAAGCCAGAAGGCTCAATGAGTGTTCCCTGGGGCTCCCACCCTCTAGAGGTCAAGGAGACCCAAAGGGACTGGAAGGGAAGGGGCAGTGAAGGAGAGGCCAGTCGATAGACAAATGAAGGACACATATCAGAAAAACAGGAAGAGACTTTTTTTTTAAGAGTTGGAGCCTCACTGTGTTGCCCAGGCTGGAGTGCAGTGGCACACTCAAGCTTCAGCCTTCCAAGCAGCCGGAACTATAGGCAGGTGCTACCACGCCCAGCTAATTTTTGATTTATTGTAGAGTCAAGGTCTCGCCAAGTGGCCCAGACTGGTCTCAAACCTGCAGGTTCAGGCAGTCCCCTCTCCTCAGCCTCCTAAAGCACTGGGATGACAGGCTGAAGAAGAGACCCTTGGGGGTTCTCTATACTCAGGGCATGCCACAGTGACTCGAAGGAAACAAGGACACATTTAACCCTGGGTTTCCCAGTGACGACCATGCAAATGCCTTCTCAGGGACGTGCCCTACAACAGCCATTTAGGCTGAACACAGAGCTGAAGCATATATGTACAGTGAGGTTCACATGACTCCTGGCCAGAGAGATGTCTCCATATGCATAGAACCACAGATACTTGGGGAAAGCCCCGAAAGGAAACCTGGTTCAACCCCTCTCCTGCCGCAAAACCCCCGCCGTCATGGGTTTTCTGCAGTCCTCTTCAGTAATAGTGACCAAGTCCGCCGGGCTCAGTGGCTCAGCCTGTAATCCCGTGCCTTTGGGAGGCTGAGGTGAGTGGATTGCCTGAGCCCGTGGGTTTGAGACCCGCCTGGGCAGTGAGACCTCATCTCTACAATAAATCAAAAAATCAGCCAGG